ATGGGGAGAATGCCTTTATTTTATTTGGGATGTTTCAGTTTGGGGGATACTCGGCTTGACAGAGCAAGAAGGAAATGGTCTGGTTTCAGACCTCTCAAGTTCTTAAGTCTCCCAACCTTCCTAAAACTCCCCTTTTAAAATAATTACTTTCTGTGAAATATTTCTCTCTTCAGCTGCCCCATGAGAGCGAGATAGCAAAGCTCTCTTCTTTCCTCTTCAAAATACTGAACAGATTTTCCATCAAAGTTCTGCTCTTGAGGTAAAGTTTTGATGCCTTTCTGCTGGGATCTGCAATATTAAGTGTTGGCTGCTATAAACTCAGAATAAGCTGACTGAGGCAGATCCTGCCTCTTCAGAACCTTGCCTGCAGGTTACCAGCCATGCTTCAGGACATCTATATGTGATGTGATGTACTGTTGTTTCTAAACTGCTCCAGTTTGCTAAAAGACCCTGAAATTAATGATGTTTTAATAAAGTTGGTGTTAAATTGCTATTACTCGAGGTATTCTTCGAGCCATCACTACTTGCTCAGAAGAAAGGCAGAAGAGCAGCACACAATCTTCTTAGAGTCAGACATCCCAATTTTTACTTCTTTCATGCAGCTGACTAGGTCACTCAATAGTGCTGCTAACTTGCTATGTAAATAGAACCACAATACAGGAATAACCATTCACAGGTTTGCTTCTTTGCTTTGTTTTTCAGGATGTGATGACCGATATGCATAACTTCTACCTTCTGTTGGCCATCCTAAAATATTCTCAAGCACTAATTTGTTGTTTTTCTTTTTTTCTCTGCAGCTTGTTTAGTCTGTTGAAATTTTGTGTATTTCATGTAAACTTGGAAGGGAAAATCTGCTCAGACATTGTGTGACCTCCCTCTAGTGGCTATGACTGCGAAATAAAAGTAGGGCTGTGATGAAGCAAACCCTAAGGTTAAGTGTTTGTATTAACCACGGTATGAAATCAAAGGAAGTAAACTTGGGAAGAAGACTTATGCCACATCAAAATATGCCACAGAATTGCTGTGTTGTTGCCAAAGCTTAGTTACTGCTCTTTCAGCCCTGAAAATACCTATCTTCCCCACTTTCCATCTTCTCCCTCTGTATCCTTACACATGACAATTGTATTGGGTTTGCGTGGCCAGGTTTTGGTAGCGGGGGGGCTAAAGGGGTGAGAAACTGCCAGAAACTTCCCCCATGTCCAGCAGAGCCAATACCAGCCAGCTCCAGGATGGACCTCCCTCTGGCCAAGGCCGAGCCAATCAAGAATGATAGTAGCATATCTGTGATAACATATTTAAGAAGTAAAATAAAGTTATTGGGCAGATGAAAATTGCAGCCAGAGAAGAGAGGAGTGAGAACATGTGAACAACTCTGCAGACACCAAGGTCAGTGGAGAAAGAGGGGGAGGAGGTGCTCCAGGTGTCAGATCTGAGGCTCCCCTGCAGTCCGTGGTGAAGACCACGGTGGAGCAGCAGTCCCGGTGCAGTCCGTGGAGGACCACAGAGGTGCAGAGATCCACCTACAACCTGTGGAGAAGACCCACGCAGGAGCAGGTAGATGCCCAAAGGAGGCTGTGACCCCATGGGAGGCCCATGCTGGAGCAGGGGTCTGTCAGGGACCTGCTGACCCGTGGAGATAGGAGCCCATGCAGGAGTTGGTTTTCCTGGTAGAACTTGTGGCCCTATTGGGGACCCCTGCCAGAGCAGCCTGTGCCTGAAGGACTGCACCCCATGGAAGAGTGACCCATGTTGCAGCAGTTTGTGAAGAACTGTTGCCCACTGGAGAAGTTCATAAAGGACTGTATCGTGTGGGAGGAACCACATGGGAAGCAGGGGAAGGACTCCTCTCTCTGAGCAGAAGCAGAAAACAACTGACTGTAACCCCCATTACCCAGGAGGAGGTAGAACTTGGGAAGGAAGGAGGGGTGAGGGAGTATGTTTTTAAGATTTATTTTACTTCTCATTCTCCTGCTCTGATTCTGGTAGCAATAAATTTAATTAATATCCCCACTTTGAGTCTGTCTTGCCAGTGACGGTAATCGGTAAGGGATCTCTTCCTGTCCTTACCTCAACTTATGAACCCTTTGTTATATTTTCTCTCCTCTGTCCAGTTGCAGAAGGGAGTGGGACAGTGGATTTAGTGTGTACCTGACATCCAGCCAGGGTCAACCCACTACACAACCTAAGGACACTGGTGGGCAGAAATCTGCATGTAATTAATTTTTTTTTTCCAGTTCTGTTAGTTGTCTGAGTAAGTTGTGGAGAAAAGCTGCTGTGCCTGAAATCCTATCTGATTTTACTAACCACACACATTAATCTCTTAAAAGATGCTGTTTTCTCTTACAAACCTTGTCCCAACAGACATTTAAAGAACAGGTAAGATCTGGGAAATGCAGCACCTTTATTCCATTTCTAGTAATTTTCCTTTAGTTCTCTGCAGTAAACCTCAGTATCTTTGACAAAACAGTATCTGTATGTATACCTAGCAATTGTATTCCTGTGTTTAAGATCTCGTTGACTGTTATTCAGCACCTTATCTGCACATTTGTCTTTTAGGCACAAAAAGTTCCAAGGATGCATGGCTGTGTTAGTATCTTTATAGAAAAAAGATAGCAATGACAGTGTAGCAAGACAAAAGTTGTGGGTGGAAAACAGCCCGTTAAAAATTACAAAAATGCAAAGCTGCAAGAGCAGCTTTGCCCTTGTGTCTCCTTTTGGATCTCTCATATTTTGACCTCCAAGTGTTAAGTGGAAGGTGAAATTTACAGACAGTGTGAGACAAGCCAACCCAAGCTGCATCTACAGACCATCCAAAAAAACCCTCTCTCATGAGTTTATGTTTCTGGCACAGCAAAAAATAATATGACTGTTGCCATAAACAGAGGTATGCTGCAGCTATAACCAGAATTTTGTTGCTTTTTTTCACCCCCTCTCTATATTGGGTTTATCAAATAAAATAACAAGCCAAAAAGTGGGGGTTGTCCTGGGGAAAATACAGAAAATATTACTTTTTCACAGAAAGCATTAAGCTAAAGATAGCTCTTTATAAAAGACAAAACCCAGCAGTGATAGCAGGAGATAAATGCTTTAAATGACCTGGGACATGCATTACCATCCCAAACTAAAAACCTGTTCATAACAGATGGCAGTAAATGTGGTGTGTGGAAAGTCTTGGAAAGTGCTGACACAATGGCAAAGCAGAAGGATATCTGACAAAACAGGAACTACCCCAGGACATTCACAAAAATACTGGAAGGTACTGCCTTCCAGGAATACAAAACTACTTACTTCACACTATTCAACACCTCCCAAATTGAGCAAACTAGGCATTTTTGTATGTTAATTAAAAAGTGGGGGAAAGTGTAGCTCAATATAGGTTAAAAAAATGATTTTACAACATTTTCCTTCAAATATTTGCTTGAATGACTGAATTCAGGTTCAGAAGCTTTTCTGGGTCCTCTTCTTATAAATACAGTTTGTCTGAGAAGTGGTACTGATGATCAAAGTTAAAATAAATTTTGGCATATGTTGCTCACTCTACTTTTGTCCAGCTCTCATCTCTCATTCCATCGAGTTCAGCAGAGTTTTATCCCTGAAAACCAGGAGCAGGGAGAGTTGCCTCATAAGCAACAATACTGAGCACTGCCCTGGAAACAAGTTTGCTGCCTTTGGGTCTTAAGAACAGCCACCATCATCACTGCACTGCTCGGGTGTGAAGACAGCAGCAAGGAAGACAGGTCAGCCCCTCAGATGCCTTTAATTTCATGTCTTTCCTTAATGATGGAGGTTTGGAAGTAGGAAAAACACTGTTTCAGAGCCTGGACCTCATTCACAGGATTAAGGCAACACAACCTGCTTCTCCTCTAAACCCTTCCTGGTTTTTTGCCATTGCAATTCCAGTGCAAGCTGATCTGCAAGCATTGGCAACCCACTACCTTTCCTCCACACATCAATACCATAGATGGTATACGTAGACAGTTTATACAAAATGACCCCCTGCATCCACATTTCTCTTACACACACATATAAGCTGACATTAGGCTGGAAATCTTGCAGCATAAAAGGCTGCCTGATTTGCCTTGACCTTCCAAGTCCCGTAACTGTGATTCCAGAGTCAAATCAATGAATCAGTTAAAACCTAGCTGCCAGTGGGCTAATCTCCACCAGCCCCCTGAAGCAGCCTCTGCTTCCACTTTGGCATTTCTCTCTAGGCAGAGGGACAACTTCTTTACACTTCTATGCCACTAACTGCTCCAACCTTTTTTCCTGCACTTTACAAGCTGGTGCACAGGATTCTGTTCTTTAGAAATCTTCCTTCCTAAAATATTCCCATCCTTGGGAATATTAATCTGCAAGTAACTTTTGCTGGGCTTTGGGGCCATGTGTTTATGTTTGGGAAACATACAGGGCTTGAGGCGGGCAAGTGCATGCCCTTACTCTGAGTGAAGATATCCAGCCCACCAGTGTGTGAGGGACTGGAAATTCCCAAACCCCTTTAGTGGTTTTGGAGAAGCAAGATGGTACAAGGAAGTACATGTGGTACTAGTGAGACAGTATGGCCAAAGAGAGTGGAAGCCAAGTGGATGCCAAGCTGCATCCCTGGGTCTTCATGGAGTAGGGTAGCTACTGCTAAGCAGGAAGGCATGCAATGTCCCTGAACCCATCACACTGCAAAACCCACCACCCCTTGGACCTCCCTGCCCGGTCATGGGTGCTGTTTCCCCGAGAAGACAGCTCAGACAAGTGGATAAAAGTCCCAGACATAAAAATCAAGCAGGCTCAGCATGACTTCCTTGCTTGCCACTAGTGCTTCCAAAATGGGCTGTCACCAGCCTGGGTGTTTCTCTGTGTGAAACAACAGGAGTGACAACAACGTGCTAGTGGGCACTGCCAAGAACCACAACTGGAAACACCTCCATGGTGAGCCGTGGTGGCCACCACATAACGTCCAAGTGGTGGCAGGTGCTGGGGCAGTAGGTGAGGGGGGGAGATATCTCTGCTCAACCCGGACTTGATTTCCTATCTGGGATCCTGTTGAGCATCACCCAGAGTGCTTGTCAGGGCTTTAGTTGTCCCTGGACAACACCAGCAGATCGAGGGTGTGCTGGTCCTAGAGCACAAACTCCCTGAAGGGTCAGGTGACAGCCATGTACGCAGATCCAAGGTAGATGATCAGGTTATATGACAGGGGTAGCTTGCACACATCTGGAGGGTGACCAGCTCCGAGGTGTTGTGCCTGGCCCCATCCCTGTGCAGTCTCCCCACTGCCCAAAGCTGGTTCAGCCATCAGTGTTTAAGAAGATGGAGAGAAGCCGATGAGCAATTGTGAGTAGGATGGAAATTGTCACCTCTTGACCCTGTACAGCAACAAGAATTTGTCTGACTGAGCTCATAGACAGCATGCAAGAACATTTTGCTCTGAAATTCTGGTTTGTCTGTTTTCTCGTTTGTCCAGTAAGACAAGTTATCTCATTTGTCCTTGGAAGGGAAGTGGCTGGTAAAGGTAGGGGGGACTCCTCAGAAGAAAAGATTTTCTTTCAAGGTGAATTGCAACAATGGAGAAAACAAAACCCAACACCCCTCCTTAAAAATGTATAAAGGCTCAAGTTTGTATTTTGCCATCATAAATTTTCATTTCAGTGGGTATGCAAATGCAAAAATGTGTGTGGAGGGGTGAAGGTTTAACTAGAATAAGCTTAAGATTGTCAAGCTTTAAAGCAGACCTCAGAACCTGAAGAGAAGGAACTAAAACTCAGGAAAAAGAAAGAAGTTTATTTAAAACACAGTGCTCTGAATTAAGGCAATGCATGTCACCTGCTTGTGCTGTTAGGCTGTTGACAGTCATAAGAGAGGTAAACTTCTCCTTGTGTGTTGAATCATCTGAAGGATAATAAAGATATGGTCTCAGTTCTAGGAACTGCATTTAGTATGTTTTGGAGGTAGTCTTTCTGAGCTGATATTGACCAATAAACTGACTCTAGTGCTTTGGGAGAGTTGCAGTCCTGTATCAGAGGAGCTGATTTCTAGAGAGACGTTCGGGAAACACCTGCTTCCCCCAGTGGGAGTGAACCGGACCTGTGGGGACACACTGGGTGCTGAGGACAGCCAACAGGAGAGCTGCTCTTCAGGAGCTGCCAGTGCCCACCCCAGCACCTGTTCAGGCATGGTTCTGCCAATTTCCACCCTGGCTGTCCAGTGTGCTGGCAGCAAGGTTTGTCTCTCAGCATGTGTAACAGAGCTTTAGGTGTGGTCAGATGAATTTACTCGTAGATGAAAGCAGGAGACAGTTTCAGGTGGTCGAAATGGAGTTCCCCCCTAAAAAATATGAGGGCTGTTGGCAATTCAGCATCTGGGAATGTCAAGAAAAGTCTGTATTACTGCATCTGGACTGATGTTTGGTTGGTTACATGCATGAGTTATCACAGACACTACCTGATGTCGGTATTTAGAAAGAAAAAAAATTTTACTTAAATGAGTCTCATCAAATTCTGTTCTCCAAGCAGTTGTGCTCTTTGAAGCCTCTTAAACCAATGTCTGATAGTTGAAAAGATAAAGGAAAATCAAGTGAGGGAGCCCAAGTTCATTTAGTAACTATGGCTTTCCAAAAAGACTTCTTGATGACATACCCTTCCTTATCCCATCATCACTAAATGCTGTTTTAGTGAGAAGCAAAAAATTGATTGTGAAGAAAAGTATTGCTCCTTTTCAGTATTTAAATTTTGATGACTGTGGATTGCATAGAGACTAAGCCCTATTTTAAGTTATATCTTCTCAGATGAACTATAATATCTGAATGATGGGTAAAGGACAAGAGTAATTTTTCAGATAATTCATGAAGAAGGTGTTTTTGTGATTGCTGAGATGGTGTTGCAAAACCCTCCCTTGAGCAGGTTTTTCAAAAGAGGAAGGTTTTGATGATGAGATTGCAACAGCTTTGTGGGCATGAGACTCAATAATAGTCACAGGAAAATCCCTGCTTTTTTAGTGCTTTATTCCTATGAGAACTTCTTGCTCAATCAGGAAGTTTCATTAAAATAATGGAGAATATGAACAAAAGAATGAGGATTAGTTATATGAGTAATGATGCAGGCATAGGTACAAAATACTTTTTTTCTAGAGCGTGGCTTATTCAACTAGCATCACTGTCTGGAATCGTATTAAAAAACTTCTGTGTCTCTCTCTGTCTGACTTTTGAAGGGTGGGGACTAAGCTAAGGAAAATTAACAATTATACCAGGTGGAACAGAACCACATTAGTGTATGATGTATGTATTGTGGAGAAGGTTGTGCCAAGAGCCCATGTCTGCAAACAACAGTGGGATGGAGAGGTACCAAAATGGTTTTAAATCATTAAGTTGTTGTGGTGAGAAGCTTGGTGCAAGCTAAAGTGTCTGAAAAAAACCCACAGCTCTGTCTGTACAAGTAAATAGCCATGTAAAAACTTAAAAATAAGGAAATGGCTAATGTAATTGATTAATATGCTAGCAGTGCTACTCAGAATTTTCTGGTATTTCTCTTTTATCTCACACCCACATACAAGGCATGTGAACAAGCTGTGCCCTGAGAGCTAACAGCTCTAGTTTGGAAGTAAAGCTACTGCATCAGACAAACTGCAGTGAAGGACAACTCCCATCTCTCTTGAGATCATACTGGTTTGACTCAGAATCACCTGCCACATGCATGCCATTACCCAAGACGTACTGTAGGCCACTCTTCCTATTTTTCTATCTACTATTCAGCTCCTAACTGAGGAACTGCCGTCAGGATGATGCAGACATACTTTCAAAGTCTAGGAGCAGTTTAACATTCCACTTACTTACAAACAAAACTATCCATCTTTTTCGTTCCTTTGTGATAACTGAGAAAAGTAATGAATACATTAGCAACCTTTATCCTGCTTGGAGAGAGCTGAGGTGTCTGATTCTTTGCACTTAAACAGACGCAATAAGCAACTGCTATGGATTCCCAACCTCTGTGTCAGATTAGCAGCAAGAGAAAAAAACCCTCACTGAAAGATTCCATGTTGAGGCTACTTATGTCCCCAGTTGCCTGTGTTTGACAGAAAGCTGCTGCCCTGTGGTTCTGTGCCTACCCATTCAGATCAGAGAGCAGTCTGGATTTGTGGGCTTGCACAGGACTCTGTGGGCTACCCGCTCCAGTAATCAATTACCTCCTATTCACTCTGATGCAAAAGTTCATCTAGTTTTAAATCGGGCAGTGATGGCATGCCATGTACCCAATGTCACTTTTGGTCTGGCACAAGAGCAACAGTGCCACAGTGCTCCTTTTCCACTCTCTTTCCCTCCAGGGCAGATGGCCCATAGCTGGTCCTCATTCTGTAGGCTTCTTACAGAAACCAGGAATAAAAGCAGTTCTGCTCTGGCACTTTCCCTGTGCATTCCCATCTTCCCTTACACCAAATGTCTGCCAAGTGTCACTCATGATCTCTATGGAGAGGTGTTAATGACCAAGGCACATCTCAGAGGTGGAACCATACTGTCCACAGGTGTCTAGGTGAATTTTGTGACAGCCAGAACAAGAGCAGGGAAGACAGGTGCATTTCTGTGGCTAATGGCTGGCACGGCTGCTAACCACCGTGCTCTCCTTGTAGGAGCAATTAGTGCCTTTCCATGGAAGCTCAGAAGGGCTGCTCTAGCATGGCAGGATGCATCTGCAGCCTTGTTCAGTAGGCAGAACATACCTGGGCACTCGTACAGGGCAGGGAGTGAGTGGGTGATTTCTGTGGCAGCCAGTTGCTACATGCAAACTTTCTCTTGCAGCTCATAGCCTGAGGGGATTGCTAAGTGCTCAACGACTCCTATATTTGGATTGGTAATACTCATTGCATTGCTGCAAAACTGAGACAGATGGCTCAGAAAAGTGATCCCCCAGTAGCCTAGTGTGTTTCCATACTTCCCTGCCATATGTGTATCTGAGTCAGAGATATGAATAGTGGAATGAAGTTATCGATGCTGGGCTTCAGGTGAGATGGAAAAATCAGTGTGTCTGGGTGTGAGTGTTCTCATGCAGGGTTTTTTTTGTGGTATCCAGGAACAAGGATCCTGGATGTGTGCCAGAACCTGCTATCTCGTATGTTTATCGTCAAGGAATGAAAGCAATAGGAAAGGGGAACGCTGGAAAACAGATTAAGTTGTCCCCACCACAACAGCAGTAGCTGTTGCACATACCCTATTAAAGCAGGTAAGAGACAATCCCTTGGGTATGTGTCCCAGGCTGCAGTAACAGTTCTGGTGTCTTTGTAACAGGGCAGAGAGGACAGAGGCCAACTTGCCAAGAAGCTGTCAAGGGGGACTCCAAAACGGGTCTATTTTGGCAACAAAGAGCTTCTAGTGCTCAGCCATCTTGTGTACTCTCACTCTTAGTAAAGAGAGCAGAAGCAACAGTGCAATCACACACTTATTCCGCAGGTGAGCCTGTTCTGAAAAACCAGTTTAATCCAGTGCATTAGACTGGAAGTCAGGTGTCAGCGTTTCAGTAGTGGCTTTTCCCATGGTCTGCTTTAAGACACTGGGAATATCATTTCACTCTTTTCTGCCCGCTTTTGTGAATGGAGAATAATAGCACTGATCTTCCTTGTAAAACTGTGTTGGCATTTCTGAATGAGAAGTGGTTCTCTTACTTCTTGTGACCTTAATTTTCCCACTTGAACAATGTGTAAGCTGCTAGTGACCAGCACAGGTGTATGTCAATGTACACATTGGTGCATATCCTGGGGGATTATTATCACCTATGACTGCCTGTATCCCAGCTCATGCCTATGCTGTGACACTATTGTATGGAAGTGAGGACAGGACTTTAGCTTGGAAGAGAATTCAGTAAAGTTACCCTGAGGTACTCAATACCAGGGATTGCAGATTCACATCTCTCCCAGCGGCATCAGAACCTACTTTCTGCTTTATATGAGCAGAGAGGGGAAAGGCAGCTCAGTGGTAATACTGCGAGCCTGGGATGTGGCTGCTACCCGGCATTGTGGTGGTACATGCTTCTTGTGAGACCTGGGGAAAGTGATTTAGGGCCAGACACTTCAGACCTACATACCTTGAAAATACTTTCTCTTAATTTCCCCATGATTCTATTTCTTATCTGAAAAGTGACTTTCAAGAACTTTCTGTTGTGCAGGAATGATGTGGGAGATAAGTGGCCTGAGACAAGTACCAAGGAGAAGTTAAGACTTATAGAAATTGAAAGTCTTTAGCCTTTAAGGGGGTAAGAAAAAGTCTAGGTCTTAATTGCATGACTTTGGGTAGTAAGTATGCTGTTTTAAGATTTGGGGACCAGGTTTTTTTATCTTTTATCTGAACTGTGATTATCATATCTATCTGAAACTACAAATATCTCTGATTTAGTTCTTTCATGATACACTTATCCACCCAAACTGATCCTTAAATGACTTCTCTGCTTGCCTGCTGGCTTCCAGCTTTTTGTTCTAATAGCTGGACCACTGTCCAACACCATTACCTCCCTTTGATAGGCCTGAAAAGTTAAAGTGTCTTGGTCAAACTTGGATAGGATTTTTTTTGTTAGAGCCTGGAACTGAGTCCCAGGCTAACACCCCATGCACTGAGAGGGATGATTTCTCACACGAGAGTCACTCAGTGATCTGGATCTGACTTGGATCTGTTCTGGTGAGTGTCTGACAGAGTGTTAGGCTTATAAGTTTGGATTCAAACTCCTGGGCAACCACAGTCCTTGAGCACATCTGTCAGAGCAAAATGGCTAGTTTTGTCCAGGCAATCTAATGTGATGGCAAGGAAAACAAGGAAGAGGAAAAAACCATACATGCTGTGGAAATGCTGCATCTTTCTGATGCAAAGAGAACAAGCTCAAAAAATTGTTTTGCCAGTGTGCAACACTGGAAAACATATGGTGATTATTGTGGAAACAACAATGAAATATGCAGCCTATGTAAACTACACAGTGCAGTGCAACAAATGGCAACCACCTAAAGCTTTCTGTCTGTGGAGAACATATCTGGTCCCAGGTTTATTGCTTCTGAGGCAATGAATTGTAGTAAGATCACAGCAACCAGCTTCTAGGAAAAGTCAGCTAGCTACAAATAATATATGCTGATGATTATAATATGAATATCTTGATCAGTAATTATTTGTGTTTCTTGTGCATGCTAGTTGTAAAAAATGGTTATCAGAAGAGCAAGCACTATTCTCATAAAGTTATGTGATAAGTTACAGTAGGAAGAGGGTGGAAAGAAAGAAAAAGACGGAAGAAGAAATTTGCCTGTGCTTCCATTCCTTGTATCCCCACTTTGGGCTTCTGTGAAGCTCTAGGGAGTCAGAAGCAGTAGAGTTTTACCAGGTGCTTCTAAAAGTAACGTGCATGGGGGTGAAATCCTGTGCATCATCCAACCCTTTCTCAGTCGTGTGAACAAGGTAAAAGTAAATGTATATACATACAGTAAAGACGAAAATACTGGATCTGATTCTGTTTCTCTGCACAAATCCTTAACCTTGTACAATGGAGTTTAGGCAGTAGTTATGAGAACGTGGGTTTTTTACAGTTGCTACAGGAGAGCTGGTATGTGTGTGTGCGTGTTTCTGGTCCCATAGAAAAGCATGTGAAGACTAGAAGTCGACTCTAGCCTGAACTCAGATTTTCTTGTGCTGGAATAATAAGGAATGAGGAATTGATTTCAATTTGTTAAAAAATAAAATTTCTCCCAGAGAAATGAACATCTAGCAAAAAACTTCACTATGATGTTTACATAGATCACATATTTTAATCTTTATTACCTCTCTTTTCATCATCTCAGATTTTATAGGTAAAAGGCTTAAATCAGCTTAAATGTCTGAGGATTTCTGTTTGAACTTAGATCCCCAGGCATTTTCCTGCTCAGATGTGGAATGGTAATTCACATTCTGCACAGTACAGTCACCTCTTCCTCCATGTTCAAAAAGGGTCAGCAAGCTTATTTGTTAGATCAACCTTTTATATCAGTCATGATCTGATTAAATTTTTCATCTAGGCTTTGCCAAATCAGCCTCAGTTATGTGCTTCTGTGTGGGTACATGCATGTGCAGAGAATCATAGAATAGTTTGGGTTGGAAAGGACGTTAAAGATCATCTAGTTCCAACCCCTCTGCTATGGGCAGGGACACCTCCCACTAGACCAGGTTGTTCAAAGTCCCATCCCACCTGGCCTGGAACACTTTCAGGGATGGGCCATTCACCACTTCTCTGGGCAGCCTGTTCCTTCGTCACACCACCACCACAGTAAAGAATTTCTTCCTTATATCTAATCTAAACCTACCCTTTTTAAATTTAAAGCCATTCCCCCCTGTCCTACCACTGCAGGGCACAGACAAGGCCAGAAGGTCTCTCGTGCAGTGAAGGTCAGCCCGCAGCTGGGAGATGCTGACGCAGACCTTCCTTTCTGCCTGGGAGGCGAGAAAGGTATTGGCGAAGCAGCCCATCAGGTGCTGCAGCACCCACCAGAAGAGAAATGGTGACTTGGCATCCATGTGGACACAGCAGACATTTTGAGGCATGTACAGCTCCCTGAAGAGCCGCTTGAAGGTCTTGAACTCTTTGTGCAGTGTCATGATGTAGGCAACAAGGAACACAGTCTCCTCAGCCGAGAGGGCACAGGTGATGTAGTGGTTCTGTGTTATGTACTCTGTCCAATTAGATTCTCTGATTTTTTAAAGCATTTTCCTTGAGAAAGGACACCTTGTCTTCATAAAGTGCTTTACAGGCTTCTATTAAAATTGAACTCACTGAGAAGTTCAGCCTCATAAGATATTTTTGTGCATGCGCATTAACGGTGTAGAAAACAAATGGGAGTGAAAGACTGAGAATCGGAATGGCAAGGAAGCAGTATCTGAGTGTATTCACTACCATCCAGAAAAAGAGTCTCTCTTGAAATGTTGCAGAGAGGTCTGATCAGACACCACCAACAGCTTGTTTTGCTGTCCGTGTTTGCTTCCTGCTGGAGAATGTATGCATCCACCTGATGCCCATTATGCAGCTGCTGCCCTTACTTTCAATACCAATAGTTACATAGCCATCATTGATGTGGAAGCAGCATAAGTAGCGAATGACTTGCAGATGGAAGCTGCTCCACAGCACCCTGAAGATTAAACAGACGTGTTGCATAATTACTGGCTTGGCAATGAACAGCTGGCACATATCTCACGGTGTCCCCAAATTCAATTTATGGGTGTGTTCTTAACTGCTTCCTCCCAGTCTCCCTGCACGTATCATATAGCTCTTAAAATGTCTGTGCATGCACGTGGTGACAGGAAAACCTCATATTTACCTCTTGTATAATTCTATTTTTTTACTTATAGGACTTTTTTTAAACCATCCGAGTGTATCAGTTATCACCGCTTCCGAATTGTAGAAGGCTTCTGACATGAAATAAATACTACTTCAGTATGTCTCAGTGACAACTACACTACCTACTAAATCAAGTATATATTAGCTATTGTGGCCTTTCTGCTGTTTTATATCCTGGATGAATATAATTTCTAGAAGGTAATTATCAGAAAAGCAGTTCCATACATACCATTTTCCAGCCAAAGAATACAAGATGGAGAACAACCACAACAACCTCTATATTCTTGTCTTCACTATTCTTCATTTCTAATGTAAAGCCACCAACGTTCACATATAAGAAGTAAGAAAATCCTTTTTGCCTCTGCGCAGAGTCATATCACAGCCATTACATTTTTTTCAGCAATGTTTTCTTAATTAGTAAATTTGAAATTTGACAAACAGATTCTGCTTAGAGTCACGAATGTGTTGTGATGAGCTCCAGACTTACATCCATCACAAGGAACTGGGTTAGCAAAATGTGTTATTTAAACCACTGAAGTTAACCGTAGGCTTTCTGATGAGACATTCTTATTTCTAAGAACTATGCATGCATCTGGTATAACATGCTTACGCAATGAGAGCTTGTGGCGTGACTCTGACTAAAGTGAAATTCTTGGTCTCTTTCTTTCAACTGTGAGTCTGTTCATGTGAATCTCCTGCTGTGAGACAGCATATTTGGGGCATGTAAACTTTTTGCAACACCATGTCTCTTTGCTCCAATGTGAAGCAATGCTGAGGCAAAATCAGTTGATCTGAGATTATGCCGGTCAGTAAATGTCCTGAGTGAGCCACTCCTCACTGGGCAGTCAGAAGGAACAGGTAGGGATAGCTGCAGTCCTGCTGGAGATCCAGTACAACCTCCTTCACAGATACCAGTGCCTTCAGAAGGAGAATGGCTCCGATGGAGCTGAGGAGCTGGAGCAGACCTATGTAAAGTCCCAGGGAGTAACAGAGACTCACCTGATGCTGCTGAGAAGTCATCTGGAGAACACTGCTCCTAAGCTGAGACCACTATTCAAGTCTAGAATAGAAATGCACAGCAAACACCATCTTCCTAATCTGATTGTTACAGTGAATTATATCCAGGTGTAAACACCACTCTCCTGCCTGATACCTCAGAAAAGCAAATTGTCATGACAGCTGGTGACTATAAGACCAGCAGCCTCTTGCTGTCCTCTGTGCAGTCCATAGACCAGGGAATTCATTGTCTTCCCACCTTCCTACTGGGTCAGCTGGCTGCAAGACCATTTCTCCCCCTCTGCCATAGTCTTAACATGAGACCTCCATTCAGCTGGAGTTAGGAAGATGTAGAAGGAGAATAGCAGGGGGCAGATGCCAACATTCCTGCAGGCGTCAGGGTTTCATTGGGGAAGTCTCAGTTGGGAGCAGAGAGCACAGGTTGCTTTTCCGAAGTACCAATGGCTGAGATGTTTCAAAGCATTTAAATGCCTTTGAAACTGTCTGCTCAGATGTTTTTAAAACTACTTTAGGTGCTCTGTAACCTGCTACACAGCTAGGAAAACCTTCAAGATCTTAAAATATATACATTATACATACATATATATATACATATATGTATGTACATAAGGAGACTGTTCTCTCTTAGGTATTGAAGACTGCATTACTAGCCTGGGCCACAGCAAAAAAGTGAAGCTACACACAGAAAACGAAATGAGTCTGGTCTTCATAGGAGTCCAATGCAAGATTTAACCTTTCCTTGATCTCTTTTGTTGATAGGGTTTTTTTTCCTTGCACAGACATTGCTGCAACACCTTTGCAGAAATCCAGATTAACCATGATCCTTTGGTACTAATAGCCTTGGGGATAAGAAGGCTGCATGCTTGGTGCTACTTCTTAATTCTTGTGCCTCAATTCCCTGGCACAGTTAGTGTTTAGAAACCTGAAAAGTTTAGAAACCTGATGTAAGTGATTGCTGTGGAAAATCAAGCTGTCAAAACCTTTGGGGTTTTGGGGGGGGTTTTTTGGGTTTGTTATTTTAGCACTAATTCTACTTTGTGCTGCTCTGTGTGAAATAAGATCCATGCCTTGAATTATAAGCAAAAATCACAAAAAAACCCAACCAAACAAAATAAACTTTAAAAAAGCCACCTACCCACCCCCCTCAAAAAAAAACCCCAAACAACCAAAAAACCCAATAAACAAACCAAAATCAGTCAAACAAATAAATAAGTCACATGAGCCACCTTATTGGAAAAAGTCTTTCTCAGGTATTAGTGCGTTATTGATTTTATAGACTCATCCTAAGTTCAGATGCAAGGAGCAGTCAAATCTAAATGTACATCTGAACTATATTAAGGCACCAGCAACCAGTAAGGAGACCTCATGATGCCCCTGGATTCTCCTGTTGTAGATTGTATTGAACCTCTGCATATTCTGGGTGCAAAAACAGAGTTACTGGACAAAAAGATAAGATTGAATTTACCAGGCAATTTAAGAAATATGCTGTGTAAAAGGGATCTGTGCTGGCAGAACTAAAACTGCTGCTGACAGATTCGCAGTGCTGCTCCTTTCTATTGTTCCCTGGACATGCATTGTAGTAATTTTTGTTTTAGCATCACAGGAGTTTTTGGTGTGACGCCTATAGTGAAAACACACTCCCCAGTAGGATTGGGGATTGAAATGTCCTCCCTGTGGATGAATGGGAACAGACCTTTCCAGACAACGAGGATATTATCTTCAGGATAGAGTCAATACTCAGTAAACTGTTCCTGGCCTTAATAAATACAGATAATTGGTTTCAGCTTATTTGTTAGCTAATTAAAAGGCAAGATGCACGGGCTTTGCACATTGGTTTTGAGTTCCTCTTTGGCCTCAGTCAGCAGTGATGAATGTTATGCATTTCAGGTCTATTTGAAGTCACTTGGTATTTTCTATTCTCTTGTTAGGACAAAAACATCTATATCATGACATTTCGTTTCATGACTCTCTCATGCAAAGCTCTGAATTTGAATTGGCACCATTGTTAAAATCACAGTGAACCTGTTGTGAGCAAACAATTTTGCCTCAGTGTGGTTTTTCTGGTTAGGAGGTACAGGTAGGCACTGTTTTGTGCCCAAGTAAAGGATCTCCTCCGCCCACACACCTTCTCACACCAAGATGAAACTTCTTTGGTCTTGTGCTGGTTTGGGATGTCATACAATGTGCATGGTCTCCCTAAAGCTCTCTCCTTGGAGCAGCCCTACCCAACACCAATCTTCTCTAACATGTGCCTTACTCACATGCCCCACCGGAGCTGGAAGGTACAGTATGCACTGTATTCCCACAGGGGAAGCGAAATCAGACTCTGAGTGCAAAAGCAGTCAGAATTTATTCCTATCTCTCCTCTGCCCTCCCTTTTTTCCTGTTCAAAGCAGTCCCTGCCTTTCCTGCACTTCCCAGCCAGCCATAATCTGACTATTCAAAGAGAAGAAAATTCAAACCTACCTGAAACAGGAGTTCCTAGGCAGATGCACTGACACCGGACAGTCACAACGCAGCAGCACTGGCAGCAAATGGGAGGAGAGATGAAATGACACATCAAGGCAAATGCTACCTCAGCTCACATGGTCCAGTAAAACCATCGAGTAATCTAATTGTACACAGTCAGTGAGCACATCTGTCTGCACAAACAGCAGGGGCCAGACAATGCACCATCTCATCCACCTTTGTCTTGCTGTGCTCTCAAGCTCCAGACACAGAGTCTCTTACGCTGCAGGAACTTCACTACTTGTCTGCATTTGCAGCAGACTTTTAGACACAAAGGTTTTGGGAATAGGTAAACTGCCTAGTCTCTTAGCAGAGAGCATTTTGCAAGTCAGACTTGCTACTGGTCCAAAGCAGAGCACTCTACTGCTCCCTTCTCCAATTAATTACCAACAGGGACACGTACTCACCTCTGTGCAAACTATTCCTCATCAGCTGCTCAGGAGCAACCGCACGGCATTCTCTTCCCTGCTCATTTATCCTCCTGCGCAGAGAAAGCAAGACATAATTAAACACCTCCTAATAGAGGACAGGCAGGCTGTGGTGGTGAAGCTGCCTTTCTTCTGTTAAATATGACTAGATTTTATAGCTGACACTGGTGTAGTTGACACATGGTGAGAGATCTGTTTTCTTATTGCAGATTAGCGTACAGTAAAGTACAAATTTACATGTGCCACTACTATTTGCCCTGGGGAAGTGTCCAAAGGTAGCCCACACTGGATTTTGCAAACATTTGGGCTCTTGCTAACTTTGTGAACATGAACCCAAGGTGTTCCCTTCAGTGGGCAAAGTGGAGCAGCTGATGTCAGACCCTCAGGGTGGTGCCAGGTCAGGGCAGTGTCCCTGCAGCCTGGTCTCTGCACGGCCAAGGGTCTGCTCCCAGCTGCAGGTGTGTTAGCAGCTAGAGGAGTAAAACAACTGGATTTTCAGGTTGGGAGTGACCTGCTCTGCCAAGCAAGTCTGACCACAGCCCTGCCTGCTGATACAGGTGCCTGGCTATGCCAGAGAGTGCAGGTATATGGATCACTGTTATTATTTCT